ACCTTCTTCATTGTCCAGTGCCCATCTTCAGAAAATACAATCGATTTTGCACACTTCTATATTTAAAGGGTATTTAAACATAAAGAGATTAGCGCCTGACGCTTTCACATCTGTGCATCCTCCAATACATTCTCGCCACATTTTCCTATCTAATTTTTCTTGTGACTAATACCACTTGCCTACGAGTGCTTATGGATAATCACAGTTGGCAGCCTCGGCTGTGTTGTGGATAATCTTTTTAGCTCTTTTCTTGTTCTTGTTCAATTTGTAGGAGTGCTGTGGATCCAAACCAGCCAACAAGCCGGCCAGTATTTGCAGAAATGTTTTGTGAGGGCTTGTGGAAGCTTGGCTGGGTTTTGTCATTTATCAATAAATGTAAATTATTAAAGTGTTTATGGCTTACTGACACTCAGTACGTCGCACCCGAGTCTGTGACATCAGTACAATGTTGCCAAGCACAGAATATGTTTTGTCAAGGCTTTTATGAAAGTATTTATTCATCCTGCTGATGCAACTTGGGATGATGTGTAGAGCAGAGCAGATACTGCATCGTGCAAAGAAAAATATGGCTTATAATAATCAATAATATATAATCTGCTTTGAAAAACTGGCTACTTTATGAATCATGCTATCCATGTCTGTTTTGTTTCTGGTTTATCATCTGTTTGTTTATTATTTATTTATGTCATTTTATATTGTGTAGATTGAAATGTTTGAAAAAAAGTAATAATAATAATAATAATTATTATTATTTCATTTTTTTATTTTATTAATTTATGCATTTATTTATTATAACATGCCCTTCAGTGTTTGAAAATAGCTGATGATAATAATAATAATAACTATTATTATTATTATTTAGTTATTCATTTATGTAATTTTATATTGTGTAAGATGTCCTTGAGTGTTTGAAAAGAGCCTTATTTATTTATTTGTCATTTTATATTGTGTAGATGACCTTAAATGTTTGAAAAATTCTAATAATAATAATAATAATAATAATAACATGTATTTATAATATTTTATATTGTGTAGATGACATTAAATGTTTGAAAAAATTCTACTTCTTCTTCTTCTTAATACTACTCAAACTACGATTTAATTTTATATTTTATAGCATGGCCTTTGGTGTTAGAAAAAAGCCGGGTAATTATTTATGTATTTGTTTGTTTGTTTCATACTTTTATTGTGTAAGGTGTCCTTCAGTGTTTGAAAATAGCTGTTATAATAATAATAATAATAATAGTAACTAAATTATTGTTATTATTATTTAGTTATTCATGTAATTTCATATTGTGCAAGATGTCCTTGAGTGTTTGAAAAGAGCCTTATTTATTTATTTAGTGTTTGAAAATATTATTTGTTTATGTGGTTTTTTTTGTATTTGTTCATGCTTTATTGTGTAAGGTGCCCTTCAGTGTTTGAAAATAGTCGATGATGATGATAATAATAATATTTATTATATTTTAATTTATATTGTATGTTCTTTGAAAAAAAAATATTTATTTGCCATTTTATATTTATTTATTTACTTATGTCATTTTGTATTTTGTAAGGTGTCCTTAAATATTTGAAAAAAAGTGTCCTTGACTGTCTTGAAAAGAGGCAAGTAATAATATTTTTTTGTTCATTATTATTATTGTCATTTACAAGAAATACACAGGTCTAAACATGACATGAAAAGGAACCTGTTGGTTGTTTTATGCTTTGTGTCAGTCAGGTCTCTTCCTGTCTAATTGGATGGTTCTTTGTCAAAAAACACCTGCAGTGGACCAATCTTAAAGCTCAAATCGATGTACGCATAGTATAATACCAAAAATGTTTACTTCAGGTAAATGCAGTATGATATCTGTGGCCCAATATTTTGTGCTCTAATATTCCTGTTTTTGTCCAATTCCCAGTGCTGCCAAAACGATATCAAGAAAAACAGCTATTGGGCATGCATAATATTTCTGACAACATAGAAATGGTTTTGTTTTCCCTCCGATGGAACATGGCAGACTTAAAATCAGTCACAGAAATGTCATATGGCACAGAGGAACCGCAAGCACGGGTCAGGTAATTTCATGGAGCGCATTTTTACAGCATATCAAAAATTCATGCACCAACAATATATATTGGCAATATGCACCCTGCAGAGGATACCAATGACTAAGCATCTCTAGAGTCATATGTGTGCTTACATTTCGAAGCATGCTGCAGTATAAATGTTGTTTATTAATATCAGCCTAACAGACATTCTAAATTTCCCCTCGGGGGTCAATAAAGTGACTTTCTAAACAAATCCAGTCTCATTGGGTGAGCCAAATTCAAAGGCATTTGTATAAAATGACCGATATGCGCATGCATGGCCGCACCTCGATTGGATTTTATATTAATATTCCAAAGCTGCTACAAACCATTAGTCTCGCGAAAAATATATGCAGGTCACATTTCTACCCAAAATCCAAAGCAGAATTTTTTTTTTAAATCAGATATTTCTTGCATAATAAAATAAGCCTGTTTTTCCATTGTGACAGTTAAGGGCATCTTCCTAAATTCTCATAACAGCAGTGTGACTGGGAATTATTTGTATTTTTAATTTTCAAGGGTATGTATGTATGTATTTATTATAAATTTATATTTATATATAATTTTATATCATTATATTTAAATATTGTATTATATAATTTTTGTATACATTTTGTAAATTATATAATTTTATTGTATTATATAACTACTACTACTACTAATAATAATAATCCTAAAAGGGCTTAATTTCCTTTATACAAGTATAATAAAAAAAAAATCAACATAAAACACACACACAGGTTTTAAAATGTAATGATGATGATAATGAGGAGAATTCAAAAATAATGATTATATAATTAAGTTATTAAATTTAAAAAATAATCAAAACAAAATACATTTACAAATGTTATAAAATTTTAAGTTAATATGCTTACTTAATAATAAAATATTGTATATTTTGTCGTTGTATTTGTTTTTTATTATAAATGCATATTTATATAGGATTTTATATCATTTATATAATTTGTATACATTACAGAAGTGAACATTTAAGGTGAAAATGTACACAATAATAATAATTCTATAATATATTTTTTTAATATTTTAATAATTATTAAAAAATACTAAAACATATTTTACAAATGTTATCAAATGTTTATTTAATAATAATACATATAATTAAATATTGTATATTTTATTTTTTAAATGTATGCATTTCTATTTACACACAAACATTTTATATATATGTGTGTGTGTGTGTAATAAACACAATATTTGAATAATTTTATACAATTAAAACATTTTATTGTTGTTTTAATTTTTGTATAAAATAATTCTAAAATAGTTCTATAATAAATTGTTTAAATTATTAATTAGTTTATTTTATTTATATTTATTATATTGTGTAGATTATTAAGTATTATTAATAAATTATTAAATCGTGTAAATAACTAATTTCATTGAATGCAAAGAAAAATAAAAGGAAATAGAATATATACATACATACAGTTACACTTTATTTTAAGGTGTCCTTACAGTGTAATTATACATTAAAGTACTGAGTAATATTAATTAACTACATACTATGTGGTTAGGGTTAGGTTTAGTTGCATGTAATTCTGCATAATTAATTATTATTATAAGTACATGTAACCTGTGTAACAACGACACCTTAAAATAAAGTGTTACCACCTTCGCATAATATAATATTCATGTTTAAAATTTGTGCGTTTAATATTGTATCCACACTCTAAAAAATGCTGGGTTAAATACAACCCAGTGCTGGGTAAAATAGGGACAAACCCAGCAATTTGTTTGTTTTGACCCAGCGGTTGGGTTAAATGTTTAACCCAACCTTCTGGGTAGTAACCCAACCGCTGGGTCAAAACAGCCCAATTGCTGGGTTTGTCCCTATTTAACCCAGCATTTTTTAGAGTGCAGTATATTCAGACGAATATGATGGAGACACTTGATCTAGATCTTTTTCGACCTTTCTTTCACCCCTGATGCTCCTCGATACGGTTCGAGTCCACGTCATCATTTAGCACAATTCCTCAACCACACAATTTTCATTTCTAATGCACTCCCACTGACATTATGCGATGCAAATTGAATTAAATCCTGTCTTCCCATGCATCCCGTTCTGGCCTTCAGGGCAATTGATTCCGTTCTCTAATTCGAGGAAGTGGGAGGGGTTCTTTGGCTTTGACGAAGCCTCTTGGTGCTACTTTCCGTATTGACAACCCATAGATGCATATCCTCGGGACCATCCCGGGGTCCATCCATATCCAATCCAATTAACAACATCAGCAGTGACTGAATTACACTCATAAATGTGTAAATGTCTTAATATCACTAATAAATTATCGCCAGGGTGCAGGATATCATGAATATGCAACATCCGTTGTGCATCCAAGATTGGAAGCGCGATACTCGGAGAGGTCGTGCATGCAAATTTGAATAATTCATGAACGCGCATTGCTGCGCAAAAAGAAGCCTTTTGTTCTCATCAAAAACTTAAAAAGTACAAATATCAAAACCTTTACACGCAATACGTGATGTAACGCCTGACCCTAAGATCAAGAGACTATCAGAGATCAACTGACTGGAGAAAAACAAAACACTAAGGCCTTAGAAGTTGAAAAAAAAAAATAAAAATCAAACCATTGTTCTGAAACGCAATAATAAGTGTAAGCCGCGTGTCTAAGTGAAATATCCACATGATGGGTTGGATAAAGAGGTAATTTAGCAACAGTAGATCAATCCATTTTTATGCAGGCAGCTGAATTCCCACCAGGTTTCCATACGCTCCGGGTGATAAAAGAAAAAGCTTCTGTTGCAGGATGCCATGTGGAGTTCAATGATATTAAAGCATGCATAAAACTACAGAATAAAAGTCATTAGCTATGTAAATCAGCCACTTACAGTAGAATCACTTTATTGCAATTCAAAACATCCATTAAATGCGGAAGAAAAACGATATTGCACGTAATGTCAGAAAAAAAAATGCATTTAAAGGCTGAAAAATGTCAACAAAAAATAAAATTAAAATACCACCCAAAAGTTCACTTTGTTTAACTGGTTATATTAATGCATGTACAGTGTCATGAAGGTTTAGTCACATTTGTTTGAGCTGTAGACGAAGTCTTCGCTGTCATGGATGCTGAGCCAATATCAGATTTCTTCTCTTGGGTTGTGGACTTAGATGAAGGACCAGCATCTGTAGACAGTAGAATCAAATATACTGTATATATATATGTGTATTTTAGTGCCGTCAAAAGATTAATCGCGATTAATCGCATTCAAAATAAAAGTTTTTTGTTTACATAATATATGTGTGTGTACTGTTTATATTTATTATGTATATATAAATACACACACATGCATGTAAGGAAAATATGTTGTGTTTATATATTAAATATAATTATATATAATATAAAATATAAGAATATAAATATACAAATGTAAATACATGTAAATATTTTCAAAATATGTACCGTATGTGTGTATTTATATATACATAATAAATATACACAGTACACACACACACATATATTATGTAAACAAAAACTTTTATTTTGGATGCGATTAATCGTTTGACAGCACTAGTGTATTTACAATATTAGATGTTAGATACAATGTTAAAGGTGAATTGTGTCATTTGTACACAATTGCGTATAATGCATGTTGTCTTAAAGGGGTTATATGATTAAATTTCAAGTTTTCCTTTGTCTTTGGAGTGTTACAAGCTGTTCGTGCATATATAAGATCCGTAAAGTTTCAAACCCAAAGAGATATTCTTATTAAAAGTTAAGACTCGTCCAAGCCCTCCTAAAACACCTAATTCAAACATGCCCCCACAAATCCACGTCACGATGTGGGAAGATTTGCATAACGCCACCCAAATGTTTACGCAAAGAAAGAAGGCATAACTTTTATTCTCACTGTAGTATTGTTGCCGCCACCGTCATTTCATGAAGACGCTGTTTTTCCAAATATGGTATAAGGGGCATAACATTTCCGTCACACACTTGAGGTATTCGGCCAATCACAATGCACTGGATAGCTGACCAATCAGAGCACACCTCGCTTTTCAGACCGATGAGCTTTGTAAAAATCGATGCGTTTTAAAAAGGTGGGGCAGAGAGGAGCAACAATAATGTACGGTATGTGGAAAATAATTTGTTTTGAACCTTAAACTACGTAAACACATACAGATACACAAAATAATGTTCTTTTTAGCAACATCATATGACCCCTTTAACTTTGCTTAGTGCTACGTTTAACCTGCTATTCTAACATACCAGTAACAGATTAGCCTGTGAGATTAGCATATAGCCGACTAACCTGCTAGCTTAGCTTTTACTGACAAACAGGAACAATTGATAGTTTTCAATTCAAGTCACACCCTTATAGGAACGCCCACCTGGAGGGCAAAACAAAGCTTTGCTCCACTGACCGACAGTTATTTTTACGCAAGTAGTAATGTAGTAAAACCAGATATTAAAAGGCGAATTTCAGTAAACACCTTATTGATGATGTATATTTTGTACAAGCAAGCAGATGAACCCAGAATATAAACACAATGTGCAAAGTTTCACAATAAATGGTTTCCCATAGAAGACTATAAGGAAAATACTGAACCATTAAGCGGATAATGTTCATATTCCGGCCTCATCTGCTTGCCTATGTAAACTATGCATCATTAATATGGTGATTACCATAGATCAGGGGTGGGCAAACTTGGCCCTTCCAGGCCACTTTCCATCAGAGGTTAGCTCCAACCCTAATCAAACACACCTGAACCAGCTAATCATTGTTTTCAAGACTACTAGAAGGCTACAGGCAGGTGAGTCATATCAGGGTTGGATCAAATCTCTGCAGGAAAGTGGCCTGGAAGGGCCAAGTTTGCCCATCACTGCCATAGATGGTATAAAAACATGAACGTAGTTTCCGTGACGTCACCCGTAGTTTTCTGAAGAGCGGTTTTGAAGCTCAAAGTGGGCGGAGCGGGCCGTCGCCATCTTGGCAGCACGTCATTCCCAGATAATCGTAAATGGGCAAAAAGGCGGGAGCTGGTTGCTGAAGCCACGCCCACCTAGCTCGATGGCAGTGTCAGCAGCGACAATCCACCTGTCACTCAAGTGGCCACACCCTTAATTATGCAGAAATTTAAGGCTTAATATAATTTAAACGGATGAGTTATAAAAAAATTCACCCCCCTCACAGTTGTCATGAAGGGCAAAATTAGCTATATAGACCAAAATAATTTTTTGAAGCAGGCTGTAAACATTTTTTTCGGCTGTAAAGTTGGGCATTTTAACATGGGGAGTCTATGGGATTGACTCCCTTTTGCAGCCAGCCTCTAGCGGCCAGTTGACGAATTACAGTTTAAGTCACTTCCGTGTTGGCTTCACGAGAGAGAGCGCTTGGTGGTTACTGAATTTGATCTTTTAATATTACCGTTTTAAATATATTAAGGCACTTCAACGTTTTGTCGCACTGATTAATGATTGAAATATTGCCGCGGATGCTTAATATGGATTGCAAATGGCCAAAACTTGCATTTTGTTCACATACCTTTGTTTTATTCTTTTGAGAGGTGATCTAAATATTTGCGGATGGGAAACAGATGGAAAATTGACAGGCTTGTGCTATGAAAGCTATGAATTGTTGTTTTTGTTTTTTTCAGTTAGGTCACAAGATAACTGGTTCGATTAGGCTAGCTTTGCATTCTGTTAACTATTATTCTGTTATTAGATATTAACATATAACTAGCAGATTAGCCTGTTAGCTTAGCTTTCACTGCTAAAAAAAAGAACGTTTGGAAATTGGAAATAAATCTGGGATACACAATGAATAAACTGAGCATATTTGAGGATGTATAAATGCTTAAGACATTGAAATTGATATTTTTCCTATCCGCTGCAAGGACCTCTATTGTAGTGTAGCAGTCACATGTCACAAACAGCTCAGGTGATTGGCTGAAAAAAGTTAGCATCCATGAAGAAAAGATAGCAGCATACAGGGTTCATACTTCCATCAGTTATGACCAAGCAAGCTGAGCATTGAGATGCTAATGTATACCTTTCTCCAGGTATGTTTGACCTTCTTTTAAGTAAAATCAATGAACAAAAACTGTTTAAAGACAGTCAATGATTATCTTTACCTTGTGAGGTCTGGTTTTCTAGTTGAGCCTCAGGTTGATCCACCCACAGTTTATGTTTTGGGTTGTTTGGGAACTGTTTGGTCAGTCCACAACTTAAACATCGCACAATAGTCTTACGTTGTCGCATCGGTCCTCCTTCAATATGAAGATTTAATATACATTGTTTATTTTAGATAGATAGATAGATAGATAGATAGACTTACTTTTTTGTCGTACAGTTGATGTGACACCTGGTATTAGTAAAGTGCAGCATTTTTTGCAAATGGTTCTCTTTACTGATGGATCTCTGCAAGGAAATGAAGCTCCATCATTGAAGTTTGTTTATTTAAAACCCACATTAATAAGGAGACACTAACGTTACTCACTGTCTGAGCACCAGTCGTTTGGAGATGGTCTTCTGAGTGAGGCAGTAAAATCTTGCCAGTTCAGTATTCTCTGGATTTTGAGCCAAAACGCAGTGAGCAGCCTGGGATCCATCATCAGAAAACATCACGAGAAGGTTTGGAGATATTGAAATAAACAGATCTGACACACAAACTCACTAACCTGATAGAGGAAGTTCAGACGTTGATATGCTTCATCTTTTATATTTCCGGCCATGTTTCTCAAGGGATGTTTATCTGTCTTTGAAACTCCAAAGTGTGAACTTCTACTGCGTATTATTGCATGAGAGCATGCTTGTTTTATTCCTTCTGCTTCTGGGTAAAATCACTATATTTGCTATATATCGCCATCGCGTGGAACGGCGATGTAATGTCATCTTCATATAATAATAATAATAATAATAATGTATGCATTTAGCAGACTCTTTTATCCAAAGCGACTTACAGTGCATTCAGGCTATAAATGTTTTACCAGTATGTGTGTTCCCTGGGAATCGAACCCACGACCTTTTGCGCTGCTAACGCAATGCTCTACCACTGAGATTGTGTGAAATAACCATACTGCGCCTCCTAGCGGCATAACGCTTAATTCAGTTGCGTTTGTGGACTTGGAGTTCACATATAGCCGAATTAGTCCTTTATATTAGAAATGACAGCATGACATGTACATATATGAAAAAAAAAACATGAAAAAATGAAGGGAAAAAAACATGAAAAAACACTTTAATTTTCAAAATATAGCCTATAATTATGTAGGCGTACGTGTGTGGAAAATGTACAATATTGATATGCACGTGTTGCTAGGAGACAAAATCGAGTGGTTGCTTAAAACCTAATTTCATCCATTTTCAGACAGCCCTTTTTAATTAGGCTATTTATATAAAGGTTTTCAAACATTTTGTGTGGGGAAAATATTAAGTGGATATTGCTTCTGGAATTAGGTGCTTTTAAAAAGTGTCTAAGAATAAAAACAAAACTCATTATTTAAAAAAAAAAAAGTCTAATATTGTCTTAATATGTGTAATAAAGTTTTTTTTTATTTTTTTCCCAACCACTATGATGTTCGGTAAACTTTAAAACAGATTTATTTTATTTTACTTTTATATCGTCCTAGAAAAACTGTTACTTTAAAAAGAAAAAAAAATTAACTTTGATTAATTATTATTATTATTTATTTATTTCAAGTTTTCAAAACGAATTGAATATTATCTAAAAGTATTAAAACTTTGACTTCAGGGTTTTTTTCTACCCACTATTAATGTTAGATTATTTTGAAATAAAGAAAACAAATATTTTTACTACCCCTTCCTATCAAAAACTGTATGTATATATATATATATATATATATATATATATATATATATAACTTTTACATTGTTACTTTAATGTGTAATAAAACTTACTTGTACACTTAAAATTATTTCTTCCTGTCAAAACCGTCACTGTAAATAAAAAAATAAATAATTTGTTTATCTATTTTAAGATTTTACATTGTTACACTGTCTATCAATCAATCTCTGCCAAAGGGAGGGGGGTCCGGAGTGGGTGTTGGGCGCACAAAACTGGCAGTCAGAAGTATCTTTCTGCACACTGGGCGCACACACACACACACAGGGCCCTTCCTCACAAGTCTCCAGTCCAGTCTGTCAAATCACCCAGCATGTGAAGCCCCTGCGAGCCTGGAAAACTTTCTCTCTGGATACTTCATTAAGCGGCTTTAAATGTGCATCTCTTCCGGATAATACTTTTGACTTGTCTTGGGGGCTTTTCTCTTTCTCATACATTGGCTCAGAGGGCTTTCTGTGGACTGAGATGGTGCAATGCTCCGCAGGACAGCACCGCGTGTATGTTGCTTGTGGATCCTGCTCTCCAGTGTGTTAATATGGAGAGTTCACTGCGCCAGCGCGCAGAGCTGTCATGAGGTTAAAACCGCTTTCCAGCTGCGCCATGTCGGTTCATTAAGATGGGTTCCGGAGACCGCGGCAACAGGTTCGTTTATAAATACTCGAGGGTTACTGTGAGAAGCAGTGTCTAATATAGCTAAACATGCATATTCTCCACACTATTTCAAACGGTCTTCTTATTCAGAGGTTAATTCTTTGTATATTGATTCACTCTGCACAATTATTGCCCAAGAAAAAAGTTACAGCAAACTAAACACACTGACCAATAGCGGGGCATGTTGTCACTTTAAGTTGTTGTAAAGCTTATTGCAGCTAAATTTAAGCTGTAACTATTACGGAAACGCAATTAACAATACCCGAAATGAATATACAAAACCTTACATTGTAATTAAGAATATAATGTCATTAAATGTATATTAAATTTTAATGTCTAACATTTCATGCACGCGTGACAACTTGCCACAAACGGACGTTTATGAAAAATGCATGTGACCTTTTCGTCAAAATGTACCTTCTTTTGTATGTACATTTGTGACTGACATTTTTGACCGTTTTAATCACCTTTTCCATTTAAATAGTCCTGTCATGGGGCAAATTATTTCTTAGGTCATCATAATATTTATACAAGAATTAGAAAGATATTGTTTAAAATAGTTTAGATGATGTGTAGTTAGTTAGACAAAAGAAGTTAGACATGTGAAGTTAGTTAATGATCCAGAAAATATTTACATAGCCTATCAATTCATTAGTATTACTGTAAATGTTTACATATAGGCCTACATTAGGCATATGTTGTATTATGTCAACTGTAATGTAATGTGTGTCCAAAAAAGTCATCTAACAAATAAGTCATTTTGATGACAGAGCATAAATCAGAAATGTCAGTGGTGTTGACAAAATTAACACGACTGTAGGATAGGCTGTCAAATGGTTTTCATGTTCTACATTTCATGTTAAATCAAAAACGCATTCCTGAATAGAAGTCATTTCAAACATTTTTGGGAGTTGCTATGAAATTGTAAACTGGGCATATTCGGTCTGTCTCAAGTTCTTGTTTATGGAAAGGATACATTTGAAAAGTATGACTGTTACAAAACAAACTTTTATTCTTAGTGCGCAAGTTTCAAGGCATTGCTCCATGTGTATTGAAAGGTGAGAGAGGTCAGCAGAATGCCGGTGATCACAGTCAGCTGTTCTAATGCATAGCTTATAGGGTCCCGTCGGTGTAAAATTGGTCACATAGGATATGGCAGGGTGACTGACAGAGCAGATATCGTCTGTCTTTATCACATGTGCTCTCCTCTTTTGCATGCACCTTCTTGCCATACAACCGCACTCTATGTGTGTTATTTTGGACCCATATGAATGTTTTAAAGACAAAATGCTTAGAAATTTTATTGTAGTTTTAAATAACTTAATATAGTAGCTGTAACGTTTTTGTTGAGTCACTTTAATTGTTTTGTAATTAATTTTTAAGTGTTGAAAGGTCGCATTTTCCATAATTTAGGTTCATCTAGATTTTAACTTTTTCTCTGTAGTAAAGTTATAAAAACTGTTAAAATCAGGGAAATTGTAGATTGTGCTTTCTCTTTCTACCTTAAAAAAATAACACTTAAAATATTTTCAAATCATATTTTGGGATTTATGTGTATATGCCACAGATAATATCCAAAATCCATACCAAATCCACTTGATGAATAATTACGACCATGATCACAACAAGTTGTTAAAAATGGTATCTGCCATTAAACAGCTAAATTTCAGCTATATTTGAACAATAACAAAATGCAAAACAATACCTGAAATGCCAAAAATGGAAAAGGTAACATACCAAAAAAAACAAACCAAACAATCGTAACAATGAAAACCATTATCAGAACTTTATTGCAAGACTTGATTAAAGAGAGACAGAGATTTGAATGGATTCATTAAGGTATCAAGTAGTCAAAAATGCCCCTAGAATTGAAACACCTTCTATGATTAATCTTCCATAGATGCAGATCTTCTTATCTGCAAACACCAGGGTCCCACATGCTGCACCCGCAAGATGGAGGAGAGCTACTACGCCGCTGCCAAGAGAGACACACTCCAGAACATTCTCTCCTATAGTTTCGAACTCAAATATCTCATCCTGGGCCATGCCTCTTCCTTCCAGGGTACGTATCGATATCGAGTGGAGCTTATTTGTCGAATAAATACTAGGCCATGTGCTGTTTGCATTTGCAGCAGGAGCAAGCGGTCATGGGATCAAGTCCCTGCCACAGCAGGTGGTTCACACGTTCACTGCATGCTGTGGCTTTGTACGCATGTATGGGAGACACCAGGGTGGTGTTATGAGTCGTATACTGTGACTTTCCAAGGGTTACTTGGAGATTTGCTTTTTGTCCACTGTTTTTCACACTCACAGAATGATCCTTTATCTGCCTGATGTCTCCTGTGAAGCAGTACATGTGCTTCTTAGAGGTTGATTGGCGCTTTAGGATTAGGACAAGGCTTTTCAGAATCAGTGTTTGAATAAAACGTACAAAAAGAAGCAATCAGAAAGATGTTTCTCTCACACACACACACTTAGACTGACTCCATGCATGTCATTATCTACTCCAGGGCATTTTTATGTATAACATGAGACATAAGACGCTTCAAATTTACAAGTCCTCGCCCAACCAAATATTTAAGTTTATCCAATTTGTCCGCCCAAACTTGCACAAAAACCCTTTCAGGTTCACAGGAAAAGGGCACTGTCGCCGTCCTCTCTGTCTTTGCTGCCAGCCGAGTGAATATTTAACGAGTTTAAAGCAAACGAAAAGAAAAATGTTGAAATTCTTGGCGTATCCATGGGGATCCGTCTCAGTGCACTTCAATGTATTGCTCTATAATGAGAGCTTTTGAAAAGATCAGTTGTTTTTTTTTCTGCTACTTTTCGCATGGTTGTAGCTGGTGTCCTGTTTAAAAGAAAGAAGGTCTGTAAAGTGTTTTTCATTCCCACGTGAAAGAGGATTTTTAATGTAGACCGCTTTTTGTCTATATGCCTGTGTGTTTAAGTGTAAAGTAATAATTCAAGTAGGAACCTTGTGGACTCTCTTGGGAATGTATCTGTTTAAGAGTTAGTTCACCCAAAACTTCTGTTCTTACCAGTATGATTTTCTTTCTTCTATGGAAGTCAAAAGTAAATATCTTGCAGAATTTATTTTTCTTAATGGGGACAAGGACTGTCAAGGTCCAAAAACTACGCCAATGATGAGACATGTGAGAACCAAAGATGTTTGATATTGCTGACGTCAATCCTAAAATGCAGGCAGGATGATCTGTTAAAGATTTGAGAGTGAGTACATTTTGGGGTGTTTCTATTTCTTTAAAAAGTCCTCTCTGTTTCTTTAAAAAGTAATTTCACTGTATAGCAAATCACATACCATTTGTCCAACAAA